AGTGTCGAATTTCTCTTCTACTGGAAAGAAGAGATTAGACAGTTGGTAGATCACATGATCCTTTGTAAAAAAAAAAAAAAAAAAAAAAAAAGAGGAATGATAGGAAAAGCCCGAGGAAACCTGGTGTATTTGGCAGCCACACATTTGCTCCCGCGTTCCTCTCTTCCTTCCAGGAACCAGTGCTCAATAGATATGAACCAGGTATGGCTGAATCCTCCACCAGACCTGACCAATCAGAGCTCAGCATCTCCTGGGTACTGTGATTGGCTCAGTGATTAGCATTTCATTGAAGAGCAGCCAATGGAAATCTTCCCTGGGACTTTCGCAGAAACAGGAAGAAGAAAAGAAGCATTCTCTGTTTTTGTCCAACTTACCTGCCCCCAGCAGACTAGCTAGCAGCCATGCGTTCAGGAGCAGGTACTGATCTAAGGACGTGCTGCAGAAACGGGGTCCTGGGAGAGGTCAGAGGGCTCAAGGAAGGCAGGCCCCCTTAGTGTGGGTCCTGAATCTGAACCCTGCGGCCCTCTGATCCAATGTGCCTTCCAGTGCTTTTGTAAATAAAGTCCCAGATTTACCTGGAGTGGCTGCACGCTGCACCACGGCAGCAGAGATCAGCTGGTCCACACAGCCAGCTGCATCTACCACTGGATGCCATGTGAAATGAGTTTCCCAGCCCTGGTACCAAACTAGGTGCAATGTGTGTCTGGAGATGTAAAATCATTGGCATGGAAGGTGCTCCTTAGGTGAGAAATTTTCATCATGGCAACATTACCTGTGAAGGGCATTCACCCATCTTCTTCAGGGACGTAGGTGTGACTGATGGCTGACTCAATTGCAGTCAGCTCTTTGGCAGCAATATTACTCAGTGTAGAGCTAACGAGGGGTTTGGGTTACAATTTCAAAGTGTTCAACTTACGACCAAGCCCCAGGACAGCCAAAGCAAGATAGCAAGTAAGAAAAGCTCCCAGTTCTTAAAGCAAACTGGTCTCCACCAGCTGGAAACCTCCAGAGCCAGCCCATCAGCCACCTTGCCATAAGAAAGGATCTGCTCTGGGGAAAGCTATGTACTTCTCCAGAAACTCCCAGAAAGGACATAACTAATCCAGAGGAGAGGGATACCTGATAGAAAACCATAAGACCACCTGTAAAAGCAACAGTCAGCCTCTAATGCTTTTCCACCTTGATGAACGACAAAAATTTTACTGAGCATTTACTATGCACCTGGCTTCTCTTAATGGGAAAACTTAAATGAAATATCTCCAAAGGCATAAGATTGGTACAATCATTACCCCATCTTACATACGGCTACAGACAACATGTAAGCAAAAGAGACTGCCTGGGTTCTCAACATATGTCACTCAAGAACACTGAAATTTGAAATTCACTTTTTTTTCACAAGTCATGAAATACTGTTCTTCTTTTATTTTTATTCTTCAATTAAACATATAAAGGCTGTTCTTAGTTCACAGGCAGCAGGTAAGATTTGGTTCTAATTTACCAAATCTGCTTTAGTACAACATTTTCCAGCATTGCTGAGACAAAATCCTTCCTGAAGATGGCAACAGATGTCTAAAAATCAAGATAAAAGGGGGACTCTCCGTCAAGTAAATTCGAATCAATTCTAAATGTACTGAGTTTCTATACTAGAGAATTCTTCAAGTTTTTGCTGAATTGATATGCATAGGGAAATCCCCAAGAGATGCACCCACCAGTCAGGGACCTAAACATATTATTAATAAAAATAGTAACTAACGTTTTTAGAATTAATAAAAACAGTAACTGATGTTAGATGTTGGAGTTTGCTCTTTGCCCAGAGCCATTCTTAGCATCTCATAGGTGTTGACGGATCCATTCTTCACAGAGCTAAGAATTCTTGCCTAATTGTTCTTGATAACTTATCCTGAAACATTAATGTGTCAAGAAATGGGGTTTTGGAAATGCACCTCTAGATTCTAGAAGAGGGTTCTCTACCTCAGCACTCTCGACACTCCAGGCTTCCTTGTTCAGGGGCCTCCTGTGCCCGTAGGATATTTAGCAGCACCTCTGGTCTCTACTCACTACACACCAAGTGCATGCTCTTCCCTGGAATTGTGACAATCCCAGTATCTCCAGATGTTGCCAGATGTTGGAGGGGGATTGCTCCCCCTTGGGAACCACTGCTGTAGAGCCCAGAGAATATGAGCAGCTTTTTAGTGGACACCATGTCCCAGTGACTCTATCACTGGATTTGAACAAGGACACCATAGGGGTCATAGCCTGGCGCCATCACGCAACCTGTTAATCCCAGCAGCTGGGGGAGGCTGAGGCAAGGAGGATCACAAGTTTGAGTTCTGCCTCAGCAATGCAAGAAGGTTCTGAGCAACTTAGCAAGACCCTCTCTCAAAATAAAAAATAAAAAGAGCTGGGAATGTGGCTCAGTGGCAAAGTGTCCCTCGATTTAATCCCAAATACCAAAAATAAAATAAAAACAAAGGGTTTGAAGCCAGGCCTGGTGGCACACGCCAATAATCCCAGCGGCTTGGGAGGCTGAGTCAGGAGGGTGGTGAGTTTAAAGCAAGCCTTAGCAAAAGCCAGGCGCTAAGCAACTCAATGAGACCCTGTCTCTAAATCATATACAAAATAGGGTTGGGGATGTGGCTCAGGGGTCAAGTGCCCCTGAGTTCAATCCCTGGTACCTCCCCCCCCCAAAAAAGGGTTTGTATGGCCTGTGGTGCAATCAACAAAACAAGCATCACTATCACCACCTGTGCTCACAGCAGCACTTTCTGGGAAATTTTAATATAGTATAACCTTGGACTCCATAATTCCACTTCTGAAAAATCCAACCACATGGAAATCTGAAATGTGGATGAGGCTAAAAGCACGAAGACCCCCAGCAGAGTGATCCCTATAAACAGGGGACTCCCAGGGGCACCCAGCGGTAGAGTCAAGTGAATGTTGTGTTGACCAGCGGAAGATGAGATCATCTTCAGAAACTAGGGCAACAAAGAATACCAACATGGGGGGGGGGGGGGGGGGGGGCAAAGCTTCCACTCATACATACCACCAAGTGAACAAAGTAGGACCCAAACTTGATTATAAAGTTTATTTCCAAAAAAAAACAAAAATGTCTTAATGCCTACAAACAATAGTGCTCAGATCTCAACGGCCTCAAAACAGGGAGGTTAGGAGTACATTTCTCCTCTATGGCCAACGGGGGTGAAGGTGCTTTTTAAATTTATCTGAACCCCCCCCCCCCCCCCCCCGCAGCAGAGCTGGAGCCGGGGCCGGGGAGCGCCCCTCAGGTTGCTGGTAACGCCCTCCTGGCGGGCCGTGGGCAGGTTGGGTATTGTCACCTGTGAAATGGGGCTCTAGGCGGTTCCCCCTGCCAGGGCAGCCGTGCCAGCGGGGGAGAGGCGTGGGAAACGCGGGCCATCGCACGTGCTGGGTGAAGAGTCACTCTGGTCGGTGACAGGGGACAAGGGGTGGGGGGGAAAGCCAGGTGAGTGACTCTTGGTCGTCGTCACTTCCTCAAAGTTAAACCGGAAGAGTCAGCAGCTTTGGAATAACGCCTGCCCGGGCTCGCGGTGCAAATCCAAGGACCGTTCACTGGTTTTCCCACTTGAAGCTCAGTCCTTTCGCGCCGGGGCGTGGCTCGGGGGTGGAGCCACCTGCCCTGCGCAGGTCAGGCCCTGGGTGACCTGGTGGTTTCACTGCTGTCCAGCCCGCCCCCCCCCGCCGCCTGTCAGGTGATGGTGGAGGCTTGTGGTATCTGACAAAATCGAACGTGGACCCTGGATTTTTAGATGCCGCTGGTTAATGAATTGCAAACACCTGGGAACCACCGCCCTCCTCCAGAGTGAAAGGTCTTCCTGGCTGCTTGCTTTCCCCTCTTCTGATCCTTGTGTCGTGCAACTGCGGACCCCGCCAGGGAAAGGAGCTCCTCCCAGGCCCAGCGGAGCCCTCCCTGGGGCTCTGCGGGCGCTGACGGTGTAAGCCCTCGAGGGCCCGATCGCAGGGCAGCTAGCGCGCGGGTGTCCGCGGTCGAGTAGGGACGGGCTGAGCTGAGCTGACGCCCCGTCCGATTACCCAGAGTTCTGCAGTGGCCGGTGCATTTCCTCCAGCTGGCCTAGCATCCCGGCCGCCCAAGCTGCCCGCGAGCCTTTGTCTGCAAGGGAGGCCCAGCTAGGCTTGGCCGATCCTGCCCCCGTGTGGACACAGGCCGCGTTGCGGCGCCGGGGAGCAGCGGCCCTGCGCTCTGGCGCCCCGTGTAAGGGGCTCCCGGAACTGGCTCTCTGTGATAACACTGAAGGCAGCCTCTGCTTGTGGCTGGGGCCTGAGCGCCCCAGAGTTCTCCAGAGAGAGAAGCTGCCCAAACCGGGCGCGGTGACACACGCGTCTCGGGAGATTAAGGCAGGAGGATAGCAAGGTGGGGCCAGCCTGGGCAATTTAGCAAGATCCTGTCTCAAAATAATAAAAGGGTTGGGAATGTGGCTCAGTGGTTAAGTGCCCTGGGTTCAACCCCCAGTACCAAAGAGAGAGAGGGAGAAGCTACCGAACGGCTCTGTGATGGGGGTATGAACCTAAACTCCGCTGCAGAGGTAGCTCGCGACCCCCAGCCTCAGTTTCCTAATCAATACAATGGAATAGCAGGCCCCACACACTAGTTATGAGACTAAGATAGAAAAAATTAAATACGGCCTGCACTACTTTGTATAAATAAGTGTTCAGCTAATGTTCCCTGTAAATCAGTTCCTACAGAGACTCAATTATATATCCAGAATACATATTATATATATAACAATTTTTCTAATGTATGCAAAGGTGATAATAAAGAAGACACAGCTTCATGACTGACACCATTGGTGTCTTGTCCGTTGCTGGAGCTGAGTGTAGTAGTGTGCACCAGTAGTCCTAGTTAAGGAGAAGCAGGGGCTTAAAGCCAGCCTGGGTAACATGATGAGACCTCCCTCCATCTCAAAAAAAAAAAAAAGAGAGAGAGAGAGATGCCTCAATAAATATTTTCCATTCATTTATTCAAAATATATTTATTCAGATTTAGCCAGTGTTCCCAGCATTGGGAACTCGGCAGTAAGGAAGTTTGCGTAATACTATTTGGACTAAAATTTCAGGAATAAGAATTCATCCAACACGGGAGCTTCATATTTTAAAGTAAAAGGAAGGAAAAGTAAAAGAGAGTGTGTGATCCAGTGGCCAACAGATCCACTCCTGAACATGAGCCCTAAATAAAGAAAAACAAAGTTCACCACCAAAATTCAGAGCAATATTATTCACAATAGCCAAAAAGCGCAAACACCCACTGATGAATGGATACACAAAATGTGGCCCGTCCAGTGGTGAAATATCCTTCAGCATTAAAGGGACCTGCTCCAACATGATGAGCCTCGTAAACATCAGAGGGAAGAATCCAGACACAGGAGACCCCCTAGGATGTGATTCCACTTACACAAAATGTCCAGAAGAGACAAACCTCTAGAGCCAGAAAGCCATCAGGGATTGTGGGGGTCTGGAGGAGGGGAGGTGGGAGTGACGGACGGGGAACCCGGCAGAGGCTTCCTCTTGAGGCTGTGGGAATGTCTGACGTGGCAGCTGCACAACATCACAAGTGTACTAGAAGCTCCTGGTAGTACACCTTAATACTATAAATTGTATGCTTTTTAAATGCACCTCAATATAAATAAATAGCTTTGTTTAACTGAAGTAAGTGTGTGTGATACAGTGATTAAGAGAGTCCAGATCTGGGGGCCAGCAGTCATGGAGCAGGTCCCAGCACAGCCACCTTAGGTTTTAGACACCGCCCTAACACTCCAGGCCCCATATTGTCATCTGAAGAGAGGGAGCATCTATAGTTCCCCTGTAATGAATGAGCTGTGATGTGAGAGAACATTCTTATCACAGTTATTATAGTTACAGGCTTGGAGTCATGGTTTAATATCTTCCAGCAAAGTTCTTGGTGTGCTTTGCTATCTAGAATCTGTGGTGCAAAAGCCCCAGAAACAACACCCAGAGACTTGGGAGGGAGATCTGTTGGAATCTTGGCTCTGTCACCTGCGAGAAGACTCTCTGCAGGCAAAGCTGCTTAGACATGCAGAGCCTCAGTTTCCTTGAGTTTGGGGCCACCTCTGACCTTCCTCCCTTGATCCAAGACCCTTTGGTTTCAACAAGGGCTGGCTTCGATGATGCTTCCTATTTATTGAAATGATAAAATGGAATCGTAACTTCTAGTTATTTCATGGGCTGGTGACAATCCAACGTGTGACAACATTCAAACACAAAAGCAAACCCCACCATTCTGTAAAATGAATATGCTCTCCTATATGCCACACAAAGGTAGCCTTGTCCCCTGGTTGAGGCAGGGTTAGCTGTCACAGGCTGTTGGCCCAACACCATGAAGAGGCACTGTGCTCCGCCCTTCATGCCCTGGTCCAACCAAGCATCAGACAAACCCAGGCCAGGGGATATGTGCCAAGTACTCACTAGTAGTTCTCAGCATGGCCCATCATGAGAACGGTCAGATCAGAGACAGGGAGGCCAGAGGACACAGTGCCGGGGGATCCTGCCTGGGGTCCTGGAACAGAAAAAAGAGCAAAGCAGGAAACTGGTGACTCCTGAATAAAGCAATGTGCCCATGTTAATTTCTGCATGTGGCAGTGTCACCACGCTTCAGTAAGTTGGTGCATGGGAGCCACGAGGGTCAGCAATGTGCAGGAACTCTACTGTCTTTACAGCTCTCCTTTGAATATAAAATCATTCCAGAGCAAAAAGTCTACTTATAACCTCTTAGTGGGCTACGAAATGGGTCCGTTGACCTTCCGGGGGCCAACCTGTCCCTGGGTACTCTCCATCACGGTCCATGGCAGCAGCCTGCCCAACAGCCCAGTTTGCCAAGTTTCAGTTTGCCTAAAGCTAATTCACTGAATAATCAAGTTAACAAATGATCATTTTATCAAATTTACCGATTGTGTTTTTAACAGCTTTTTTTAAACGGGAATATTTTAACAGCTCAAACAGGAAAAGTAGAATCTTGATCACAGATTATGAAATATAATTGTGTGAATATTAGCTTATCAAAGCGGATGAGTTTTCTGTGAAACTGCCAGAAGGTTCCTCCAAATTGAAATCGACACAAACCAAACGTTCCCTAACAAAGTACTACTTCCTCTAACCAAGTCCCAGCACCCTCTGTCCACCAGGGCCACTGGGTTTCATGTTCTTTCTGATGCTCTTGAACAGCACCTTCTATTTTATTTAATATGCAGGTTTTAGTGGATTTTTTTGGTTCATTTCACCAGTGGCATGCCAGTCTTGTTTTTGTCTTCCTAAAAATGGACACTTTTAATTAAAGGTTCATTTACCTAATTTCATTTCTTACCAGGATTCCTCCAACGCTGGAACACCAGCGATTACAGCCCCGAGTGGGGACATGCAGGGGCCGCCTGAGAAGAAGCACTGGCTCTGGGAACAGCCTTGCAACCAAGGAGGACAACCGGCTGGGACCCAGAGAGGAAGGGAGGAGTCAGGGGTGACAGCGAGGTGCTCACTGCGGGAGGCAGCAGCAGGGATCCGCAGAGGTGGCTGGGGGTGCTCCACGCCCTCATTTGGGGAAGTTTGCAGTTTCTGCTGTAGGGGATCAGGGTGGTGGGAAGCGGTGAGCTGGTGATGCAAGGTTTCTAAGAACAAATTCCTCCAAATATTTCCTGCATCGATTCACGCAAGTCTCTACCTGTTCATTAGGCACAGAGAACATTGTCATCAGGGGGACGATGAAAACATCTGTTTTTGTTTAGTTGTTTTTGTTGTTGTTGTTGTAGATTAACACAATGCCTTTATTTATTTATTTTATGTGGTGCTGAGGATCGAACCCAGGCAAGCACTCTACCACTGAGCCACAACCCCAGCCCTGTTTTTTAATTTCTGAAACAGAAGAAAAAGATGGATATGATAATAATGAATATATAGGAATGAACTCAACCTGGATTATACGCAGATTTATGCTAGCAAGGTGGCATGAATGTCCTCATGGACAGCCATGTGGATGATAGAGGAGGACTCAGAAGGCAAAAGTACCAGGACCCTGAGAACACACTGTGGACCTCACCCTCCCCAACCGCACCCAACCCCAGCCCTGCTTCCTTTCCACACCTCCTGTGCCAGGCCAGGTGCTGGGACCTGGGATATCAAGAGCAACAGGTTGTGCTGGCCATTCCCTGAGCCTAGTCTTGTGGGCCAGGACAGACAATATACCCAAATGTTAAAAATTAAAAACCGTACAGTAGACGGATGGGGAAAGGCATTGAACTGTTCAATGAACAACCTTCGTTTGGATTTGGAAGGTTCCCCAAAAAACTCATGTGTTCAAATCATGGTCCCTAAAACAGCAAGGTTCAGAGGCCATGACTGGATCATGAGGGTCCTGAATTTGTCAGTGGATTACTCCACAATGAATCCACTTACTGGATTAATCCACAATGGCTGAATGGACTACTGGAAAGTGGGACCTGGTTGGAGGAAATAGGTCACTGGAGGTGTGCTCTGGAAGATTCATCTTCTCCCCAACCCCTTCCTCCCTCCCTCTTTTTCTCTCTCCCCCCTTCCCAGCTGCCAAAAGCTGAGAAGTTCTTCTCCACCAGACCCTTGCCACCATGATGTTCTGCCTCACCTTGGGCCCAAAAGAAGGGAGTTGGGAGACCATGGACTGAATGCATGCATTGCTGGGGATTGAACCCAGGGCTTCATGTATGCAAGGCGAACACTCTACCAACTGAGCTACATCCCCAGCCCCTCTTATCAGCTATTTTGACCTCAGTCATTAAAAGTTGGCAGTTGCAACCCACATAAGTGTGGACATTAAATTTTCAAAACCCAAATCAAATGTTATTAGACACTAAAATGTACAAATGACAGAAGCAAGAAAGTAGAATAGAGGTGAAGGATGGGTGGGGAACACCACTGTCCTCCTCAGACCAAGTGGGGAGGTAGGGAGGCACTGAGCATGGTGAGGAAGGAGAGGAGACGACGCTCCCCAGAGGCTCTGAGTGCGCAGGATAGCTGAACCCTGACACAGGCTGGACCCACGGGGACCACCCAAAGGAAATGGGAACATTTTCTCCCCGACTTTCGGGAGGCAGGTGTTCACCTGGCAATGGTTAGACAGTCCCATAGAGCAAAAAGTTGTCCTACCCAAAACGCCCTCCGTGTTCCCACTGAAAAACACAGCAGTGGTCCAACTAAACACAGGGGATCATGAAACAGAATTTGAGAGGTGAGAGCTAGCAACACGGAGAGGTCAGTGTACCAGGGGCGAGGGCTGGGGAGGGGAGAGTGTGTGAGATGCCGGGTTCCATTTTTAATACTGTTTGATGGTTTTGACCATTTGCAGATATGATTTTCTAAATCTTTTTTTAAAGCAGTTTCAACAGTGTGAGAGGGTGGCAGGCACGGTGGTGCACATCTGTAATCCCAGTGACCCAGGAAGCTGAGGCAGAAGGATCGCAAGACAGAGACCAGCCTCAGCAGCTCAGTGAGGCCCTAAGCAATTTATTGAGACTCTGCCTCAAGATAATAAATAAATAGGGCCAGGAATGTGGCTCTGTGATTACAATCTTTTATTTGAATTTTCAAATGTTTGCTCTTGTTAAATCATCTTTGGTTTCAAAGGCACACTCGCCTGTAATTCCAGCAGCTCCAGAGGCTGAGGCAGGAGGATCTTGAGTCAAAGCCAGCCTCTGCAACTTAGCAAGACCCTAAGCAATTTAGTGAGACCCTGTCTTTAAGTTTAAAAATACAAAAAAAGGGCTGGGGATGTGGTTCAGTGGTTAAGTGCCCCTAGGTACAATCCCCAGTACCATAAAAATAAAAAATTAAAAAGACATATCCAGCAGGAATTACAGAGCATCTGCATATCTTCGAGGGGGAAAAAAAACCTATAGCCCCAATGTAGTTCGAAACCACATTAAATTTAATCTCCACAAAGGAGGACCTCAAATTTCTGTTGACCTGCTAACAGGCGCCACCATGTGGCAATGATGTAAACACAAGCTTCCGTCCATCCTAACTAAACAATTCTTGGAGAATTTCTAATTTTACAGTATTCACACTATTGCAAACTCAGTACATCCAAGCAAACGCTAAGCCATCGCTGATTCACAGTTTCGATTTGCATGCTTCATATCTGCAGAAGACCCATCCGTGTCAGTTAGGGTTCAAACAGGCTGATGCTATGTCAGAAAACCTTTGGTGTGGTTTGCATTGTAGATGAAAGGAGGCTGTGGAGCTAGTTGTGATTTATGATTATTTTATATGAATGATCAGCAAAAAGCAATAAGACTCATTGGAAGGTTCCATTTTTCAATTACACTTGCCTGCTCACCTTCAAAAACTGATAATGACAAGGGATCGCTAATAAAAGTTTCACCAAAAGTCTTGCCGTTCAACATTGCCTTTGCTTCTGGTGGGTAAAACCCTGAATCTTGCCATTTTGAAACTTGGCACTCCAGTGTCTTTTTTGTTGTTGTTGTTGTATTTTTTTATAGTTGTTGATATACCTTTATTTATTTATATGCAGTGCTGAGAATCGAACCCAGTGCCTCACACTTGCCAAGCAAGTGCGCTACCACTGAGCCACAGCCACAGCCCCTCCAGTGTCCTCTTACAGGTCGCAAGATAATGCCCAAACACCTTAACCAGCTAACCAACACCTCTTTGGCTTCTTCAAATCCTTCCTTGGCACAAAACTGTACCCAAAGTGTTCCCACCTAATCATGGTCCACAGAGGACCTGCACAGCCTTCAAACTTGCCCAGGTCATAGTCAGAAAGCTCAGCAGGTGCAGACCCACCAGCCTCCTTACACAAGTCTCCAACTAGACAGTGCGCATCCCAGGAAGCCCTTCTCAAGAGGACCAAGTCTTCCAACATGGAAATAAAATTCCATAAAGCAGGAGGTGCTTCGATCAGCCCAGTCAGCCACATCCTGCCTCACCTGGAGACAGTATCAAAGATCCAGTGACCCTGGAGTCAGACCCGTGCTAGGCCTTATGACTATCTAACCACCCAAACCCTCTGCTCAAGCCCCAAAGCTCCCATCACACTCAGAGCAAAACTAAAAATCTTCGGACAGCACCAAGCTGCCTGTCTCCTCCTCACAGCCTCCAGGGCCCTCCATGTTCTCAAGTGACCGACACAGGGCTTTGTTCCTGGTTTCAAATGCTTGCCCCCAACATTTCCCTCCAGTTCATTGTGTGGCTCACTCCCCTCACCCCCAAGACTTTCCAACTTCAGTGAGGACAACCACATTTGAGGTTGTTGAATGACACCCCCAAGCTGGGTGCTCCTTAAAGTTTCGTTTCTATATAGTTTGTTTTGGTTTTGTTTTTTCTTGGTACTGGGGATTGAACTCAGGGGCACTCAACCACCAAGCCACATCCCCAGCCCTATTTTTGCATTTTAGAGATAGGGTCTCACTGAGTTGCTTGATGCCTTGCTTTCGCTGAGGCTGGCTTTGAACTTGAAATCCTCCTGTCTCAGCCTCCCAAGTCGCTGGGATTACAGGTGTGCACCACCTCACCCAGCTCTATGTAGTTCTTAAAACTTCTGATGCACCGTATAATGCACTTAGTTGCTGCCCCATAAGGCCAAAGATTTGGTCTTTTCACATGACAAGCCCGCATTGAGCAAATCAATGAGAAGGCCTTAGAGAACTGTCTTTGGCAGACTCCACAAATGCCATTTGCTTTTGGTTTAACAATACTCAGGCAACAGGGAGAGGGAGACTGCACTGGGCACCAGGGCCTGCCCAGTCCCACCTGCACCCGGAGCCCTAAACTGTCTGTCTCTGGTTGGTTGTAATGACATAGAAAGTGCTAACCTAAAGACTCATGTCAAGCATGGCGGTGCACACCTGTGATCCCAGCGGCTCAGGAGGCTGATGCAAAAGGATCATGAGTTCAAAGTCAGTCTCGGCAAAAATGAGGTGCTAAGCAACTCAATAAGAACCTGTCTCTAAATAAAATACAAAATAGGGCTGGGGATATGGTTGAGTGCCCCTGAGTTCAATCCCTGGTACAAAAAAAAGAGGCTAGAGCAGGAGGATCACAAGTTTAAAGCCAGCCTAGAAAACTTGGTGAGACCACATCTCAAAATAAAAAATAAAAAAGGCTGAGTACCACAGGGTTCAATCTTCAGTACTGTTTAATAAGAAAATATGGGGCTGGGGATGTGGCTCAAGCGGTAGCGCCCTCGCCTGGCATGCGTGCAGCCTGGGTTCGATCCTTAGCACCACATACAAAGATGTTGTGTCCGCCGAAAACTAAAAATTCTCTCTAAAAAAGAAAACAATGTGAGACCAGGGTCACTCTTTGTGTGGCGCTCCCAAGGAGTCCTGTGTGGCAAGGGCATTCATATCGTCACTGCTGACCCTGCAGCAGTCATTTCGATTCAGGACTGTTGATAAGTTTGCATTCATCAGCATTCGTCACTTTAAAGTCCCTGAGCCAAGCCAGGCTGAGCCTGGTCCATCTCCAGGATTCTTGATGGGGCTATCTTTGAATGAAATGAGAGGGATTCTGGGGAGGAGAACAGGAGAAAGGTGTGATAGGAGGGAAGGGGAGACTGCAGGCTCAGCCCCCAAGTCCTGGAGCCTGAGAGGATTAGTGCCCCTCCTCCTCCCTCTAGGGCCCCTCCTTCCCTAGGCAATTAAGTTACCTCAGACCTGCCTAGCGCAGGGGAATTCTCACGGTGCCACTAGCCATCTCAGAACCTAGCTTCTAAGGGCAAAGGTGAAAAGACAATGGGTACAGTTTTCCTTTTTTTTTTTAATTAAACTGGGTTTCTGGCATCACTGGAAATAAAAACCAAAAAGCACCTGTATCACTGTGCTCCAGCATCACAGCTGCCAAGGACAAGGACGACACTAGGAAACAGGCGAGCTTATGGAATTTTGAATGAGAAGAGTCTTAAATATTTTAATAAAAGCATATTAATAGTCTTATATTCCCTTTAGTGTTTGAAATGGCACAATGATCCATATTTGAAAACTTGCCCCAAAGACCAAAGTTGAACATCAAAGCTGGTAGGACAAGGAAATGACTTCAGGTCATGCCTGCGCCACCTGGTGGTGACACCTCATTTTTGTTTTTAAATATTTTTTTTAGTTGAGTTGGACACAATACCTTTATTGATTTTTATGTGGTGCCGAGTATTGAACCTGGGGCCTTGCACGTGCTAGGCGAGAGCTCTACCGTTGAGCCACAGCCCCAGCCTGACACCCGTTTTAATGAAACCAGCCACAGCTCTTGGTCGCTTGGCTAGACAGAAAGAAGCCCTGAGTAATGCAAGTGCCTATTCCTGGTGGCCTTCCAGAAGCCTCTCTCACATGTGACCAGAGGCACCTTGTGCTCATCACTTTCCTCGTGACTAGAGACTAACCTGGTTCCCAATGAAATCAAATTCTCACTACTGCTTCAGCTAAAGGGGCAAAATACCCACCTTTTACCAGTCAGTTCAATCACAGGAGCGGCTCTGCATCAAGAGCTGAGGGGGGGCTGGGCTGCACCTCAGTAGGGAACGTGGCCGCAGCAGGCAAGAAAACCAAAAGGAACCTCAACCTCATGGTGACAGCCAAGGACCCCCACCTGCCCTCCAATAGACACTGGCCACATCCTCTGGGAATGAACACGGGGCCTTCTGGGGGCCTCGGCCTCCCTCCCACCCACCCCCCCCCATGACTAGAGACCAACTCAAGCTCTCCAGATGACATTTCCTTTGATTCTTCGGAAGTGTGCTCTTTCTTTTCTTCAGAAAAAAAATTAATGAAATGGCCCACAAATCAAGTTGTGCTGTATCTACTCATGTTTTTTTATATAATGAGAATATAAGTACTAGCTACATACATGCCTATATTCTTAAAAAGAAACAATGGAAGGCTAAACCAAAAACTCATTTTAAAGAATGGTTACTTTTAAGCAGGGCACAGTGCCGCGCACACCTATAATCCAGCAATTCAGGAGGCTGAGGCTGGACGATCACAAGTTAGAGGCCAGCCTCAGGGATTTATCACGACTATCTCAAATCAAAAAAATAAATAAATTTATACTGGTTTAATCCCCAGTATAAAAAAGAAAGTAATAATTACTATTGGATAGCATAGTAAGAGGAAAAAAAATCTCAAAACATGCCTGGTTTACTTTAAAGCTATGGAAGTGTTTTGCATAACAAAATTACATGTAGAAACAAAAAAAAAAGAGCCACAGCAGTATCCAACAACAGGAAGCCAGGAGCCCAGGGTCTGCTGGCATATCATGCAGGCAATTCAGGTCAACACCACACTGCCTGTCCTTGAACAGGACCATCCAGCAGAGGGGAGATCCCCAGAGAACTTGACTGCTGGGTTCCACTCAAGAGTTCCTGAGTCAGCAGATCTAGGGTAACTCTGATACTATCCATGTCCAACAATTTCTCAGTGGGGACACTGCTGGTGGAGGTGGGCGGAGGGACAACTGGAAAACCAGTGACAGAAACAAACAGATTGACCAAAAAAATGTAGAGCTTCATTTAGTAACCATGTCAGTGACAACACATTGTTTTTGTTATACATAGGCTAATGCCATTGGTAACCCAGATTTTTCAAGTAATCAAATACAAAATCAGAGCAAAAACTAAAATTTAAATTGGAAATAATTCACTGAAGTTTTGTGGAGTTTTTTTTCCTTTAAAATATATATGTATGTATTTCCACCAGGTGTGATGGTGCACAACTGTAAACCCAGTTACTAGGGAGGCTGAGGTATTATGGTCTGGGCAAGAATGGTCATGGCAATTTGGCAAGATCCTGTCTCAATATAAAAAACACAGGATTGGGGATGTAGCACAGACAAAAAAGAAAAAGAAAAAGAAAGACACCAATGAGGTCACTGTAACGAGTAGATAGATCCTGTCTGGCTCAGATCACAACAGACCAAGTGCACAAAGACATTTGAGGAATCCAGGACATGCACGGACTTGCAGAAGCTGGTTATGAGAAATGGCTGCTCACATAGTTAAGTGAAATAATGTGAAGTCCTCATCTGTGAAAGAGACCTACTGGATTATTTTAGGGATTAAATCAAATCATGACTAAGATTTGCTTTAAAATACTACAGGGTGGGGCTGGAGAGTAGCAAAACGTGGAGCAAGAACACAGAGATTTAATACACTAATCTGAAATTGTGTATGTTTAAAGCTACATTTCGTGAGACTTTAAATAAAACAAATTGGGAACCAAGAACAAATAAAGACCAAAAACCAAAACTGCAAAACACCAAATCTATATTTACATCCACATATAATAACATAACTTTAAGCTGAAATATATCATAAATAAAACAATGTCTACTGTTTGACAACTTAAGTATCAACAATTAAAATAAATCAAATGGAATGAAATAAATACATAAACAAAAAATCCAACAAATTGTACCTCTATTATATGTACTGTTGTCTCAAAGGAAAAACACATACAAAACCAGTAGTATCCCAATAGTTAATACTGATGGACAAAAAAACATATCTTGAAGTACAAAGGGCTGTGAAAAAAATTGATATTTTTATGCATTCAGAAATGTAGTTGGAAAAGAGAGATTTGAAAGCCCCCAAAATTTCAGCATAACACAAACTGACTTGTTTGCAAATAGATTTGGTGATTTTTTTTTTTTTAAATACAGGTTTAAATTTCAGCCCGCTATTATCACATCCCCCCTTTTAAGATTTACATTTACAGTCACAGCAAGCTTTCTGTAACACTTACTGGATTAGGCAAAGACGGAATCAATCATCTTGCAAATGTGTTAATCTTCAAAAATAGGCTATAAAAAGTGCAAAACTATGAAAACAAAATCTAGATTATGTACATATGGCTCAGCTTGTGAACAGGAAAACAGGTAATAGTGTCCACTTTCCTGATACAAAGCACTTTGCTGCAATGCCAGCAGACTGGTCTCAGACTGGGTCTCCCCTGAACAACACGGGAGTTAAGACTTCTACCAATGATGCCCCGCGTTGCATAATGAGAAAAAAAAAAAAAAAAAAAATCAGGATTATTTGAGTACTTTACCCTTGTCCTACAGAGAGGAGCAGGGCAAGAAAAATTAGCAGTGCAAATTTATTTTTGAAACAGTTTCTTAATAAAACATTTTGTGGTTACTAAGCCCATGAGCTGCTAATAAACTCAGCCATGGACAGCACATTAAAGGAACAAAGAGTTAAAACATCTATTGAGCCAGCTGCTGTCTGTCCTCTCTAAAACCCAAACTGCATGTGCACCAAGAAAAACATGGTGGCTGCAAAACCCAAAGTGGGAAGGCTACTGAGGTTCAGGCAGACTCCCAGGAGGTGGGGCCCACAGGTCCTCGGTCAGAACAGTGTCATCAATTAACTTCTCCATGTCCCTGCTTAACCAAATACTAGACACATCAAGACTTCCGAATACAAGCCTAGAATTTTCTCAAAAATCTTTCATTCCCTTTAAAATTGCTTCCCAGTATTTGTAAGTTAGCTTTTTTTTACATACTAATTTAGGCAAACACCCCCCAAAAAACTGAATTTCCCCCACAAAATGATTAATGATAGAAAACAAACCAAAATGGCTCACATGGAGTTTGGTATGTTAGCTCCAGATCTGGATGGACTGGAGGAAGGGCTTCTCTGCGGATACACGGCTGTAAAGCCCCAGTGAGGGCTGCAGCTGGGAAGGAGACTGCGCCTCCAACCCCCCAGGGCACACGCTGGCAACATCTGCAGTAAGAGGGTGCCAAGTTCGGAACCGCTGACCTCAAGACCCTGTAGCACGTTTTCAGAGAGGGTCAATAAGTCCGTTAACAACTGTGTTAAGACAATAGACTGCGGAGGATTCAACATAATACAAGTCATTGAGAATTTTTTTTTAAAACATACATTTTAAATGAGCACAAACAGCAGAAACTGCTCCATGTGTTGAGCTCAACTAGAGAAAAGGAACACACAGTATTTAAACAAGCAGTTTACAACATAGATATTTACAGAGTTTACCTGAGGTGCAAGCATTATATATTTTCCTCCACCCCACCCTCCCAACCCCAAATGATTTCTTTTCAGCAGCGCTCAAGTATGCAAAAACTCCACTTATTTGGTCAATTCTAAAAAAAATATTATTCAGGGACAAAATAGAGATTTCCAGTCCCCATTGGGTACAGCTCAACTGTTCCAACTAGTTTTTATTGCTATTTGGTACAAAAGTTAACAGAACAACTTTACAAACTGTAGTGTTCCTCACATGTTCTTTACATGTTCTATGTACAGTACAATCACAGCTTATTTCAGTAGCTTTCACCACTCGCCTTCTCAAAGATGAACTAAAATTTATTTCACGGAGAGTACAAACTTATTTCCAGCAAGACCTACAGGGGGGAAAAAAGTTACAGCTGATTAAGATTAAAAAAAAAAAAAATCAACAGTTAAAAGATTTTTTTAAGTATATTAAACAAATAAACAAATGGAATCTAGAAATGCAATGTGTTCCATTTAAAGTTCAAATTCTGCAACAAGTATCAGGAGACTATATAGATAAAGCTGCACTACTTAAGAGATAATTCAAGGAAGAATTAACACTTAGTACCAAATACATCAAGTCTGGCAAAGGTCAATACCTCCCATAAGAAACTAGAAGCTTACACAGTAAGAAAGAAAAGTATAGGGATGGGTCTAGGAATATTTAACAAACAAAATGTAATTTAGAATAATCTCCCCTCTGTGAAAAAGGGGGCATAAAGCATTTTATAAGCCTCTCAGCAAGTGTCTATCAAGGTACCACTGATACTCCAGGCCATGGGCCAGGGGATGAGCAAAGGTGTCCCCCCAGTGAGCTAAGCTAGTTCACAGAACACAAGCTCTTTAATCAGTCCCCTGATCTGCCTGCTCATGTCACCTGGACTCAGCCTGGTCTCCTGCAATGACATCAATTCCCACACCTTCTGCCCATGCCACCTCACTTAAGAACACAACTACATAAGGCTGGTGTGGCCCTGGGAGAATCTCGTTTCTGTGTCGCTGGAGAAGCTCTGCCCTGGATCCTAAGCACCTTCTCCTGTTTGTATCCTGGTGTCTAGGAGGCACCAGGTGAGAGACTGCTCCAGGAGTAATGGTGAGGACTTTATGGAACAAGTACCTGAGTGGGAACGAAATCTGTCCAGGGACCCCGGTCTTGTTATTCACCTGGGAGTATTAAAGCAACCCTAGGGAAATCATCCTTACACAGATATCCTGCCCTGTCTAAATCCCAAATGAACAAGTTAACGTGAAATAACCATGATACTGGACTCTTACGGAGCTACTCTACACTCGGCATACTTTGGCATACAAACCCAACATCAAAATAAACTTGTTTGTTCCGATCCTAAAGCCTTTTCCCAACAGATAAGGATTTGAGAAGGCTATATTATATACATATTATATATATATATATATATATATATATATATGTGTGTGTGTGTATATATATATAATATATATATATATTTTTTACAAGTAGTTGGACACAATACCCTTATTTTGTTTATTTTTATGTGGTGCTGAGGATCGAACCTAGGACCTCACAAGTGCTAGACAAGCGATCTACCGCTAAGCCACAATCCCAGCCCCTGAGGCGGCTTTGAATAAGCTCCTCAACTAAAACATTGGGCACAAGCTTGGATTCATGCGCACCTAGACAAAAACCAGACTTCCAGACACATATGGGCGAGGGGGACCTTGGGCAAGTTTCGTAATCCCAGTCTCAGTCACCTTGTCACTGAGGTATACAACAGCACCTCCTAACCCTGCAGCACACACTTTATTTTCTGCCTGCAGGCTGTGCAGTCTGTCACAGCTACCTAACTTTTCTGCTGGAGCAGAAAAGCAGCCATGAAGAGTCAGTAAACAAATGCACAGCTGTATTCCAATAAAGCTTTATTTACAAAAGTCTTGATGAAGAGCCAGTTTGCTGCCCCCTGCTGTAACAAGGATTAAATGACTACTGATCACTTCATTCAATGCCATCCCAAAGTAAATGCTTAGGAAACTCAGGGGACATGATGATTGTTTTACTATTGTCCCCATTAATATCCAAAACCCTGAGCACTGTCACCTGAATTTTAAAACACCTAAAAAAAAAAAAAAAAAATTAAAAGCAAATTTATTTTGAAATATTGGGCAAACTAGATTGATTTATTTTCAATTAAGTAAAATCAACACATTACATTTAATGTAAAACACACTCACCTTTCTTCCCCAAAAAAATAGGAAATCAAGTTTTTTTGTCATTTGGTCGATAATGTGCATTCCCAATGAAATTCTCGTAGTTCCTCTTTTGCAGCATGCTGCTGGATAAGTGTTGGTACGACACAGGCCTTTTTCCTGGTTGGACAGAAAGTGTAAAGGGGCATTTAGGGTCAAGTTCAAACAACTGGGTAAGATTCATATGGGCTGTTAGTTGATTTTCAAAATTCCTACCACTGATAATCTGATTGCTTTATGCCACAACACCAGAAACCATGTACTTGTTTGCTCAGTTACAGTGAATTGTTTGAGAACATTAGCACAAAACTTCAAATTACTAAAAATCTACCTGCCAGGTTATCATTAGTAAGAATTTTTACTAACCAAAGGACAACGGCACCATAATGTATTTTAAATCTATATGCATCATGAGCCAAGACTATAGAAGAGAAAGAAATAAAAAGCCTATTCAGAAGAGGACCTGACTTTTCTCATCAGGACATTTTGATATACGTCCATTCTAAACACTGTGGGAGTGGAGAAAGTGGACACTTTTAATCAAAAGGCAGCAAAAATTACTATTTCATCAGAACTTCAATAAAAACCACTGGAGTGTGTGAAAGCAATTGTTTTTTAATTCGCTAACCCTACCAGAACAATCGGCATATCAAGTTATCCTTGATAGACTGTTGTCACCACGTAGAATCCTTAATCTGAAACTAACAGGAACTAAAAGGTTTGAAAGGGACTTGTCTCTCTGGGACAATACAAACCAGCATGGCTTGAAGCCAGCAGGACCATACCCAGCTCAATCAAGCTCACCAGGCAGGACACCTGGGATGCTCTACCTACCTTTCCACATGCTGGGTATGTGCCACACACTCTATACAAGGATGCCAGGAGAAGACACTTCCATGGGCAAACTCCAAAATAATATAAGATTACTATGTACACATAAGGGAAAATAATTCTTTATAATCCACTTGATAACAAATACAGGGGCTGGGGACAGAGCTCAGTTGGTAGAGTGCTTGCACAGGCAAGTGGGATGCACAGGCCCTGGGTTTAATCCCCAGCACCACAAAAAATAACAACAACACTGGACAGGCAGTACAGTTCTAGACTTCCTAACATCAGAACCTGAGAAAGAGGGCCAGAAGTTCCCTCGCTTCTCTCCTGACAGGACAAAGGGCCTCCTACGGTACTTACTGAGGCCTCCTGCCAGCTATGTGTAAAGGAAGGTGGCAGGCCTGCATGGATTATCCTGGGAAGGTAGGAAGTACTCCCCCAAATCCCTGGGCAGGCTGGGTGCACAGGAGAAAAGGGGCTACCTGATGAAGGGATGGGCTTAAACGGCATGTGGAAGGAAGGAAAGGATTGGACCAGTGGCTCTCGGCCGTTGTTTTCAGGATGTATTCCACAAGGAGAAAACTTAAAGTGCTATTAATATCTCGGGAGTGAGATTTAATCCTGGAGAGTTCCGCTTTGGAGGATCACAAACCTCTGCCAAGCCTAAGGTCTCTGTCTACATCCCTAAGGCCTTTCTGGCCCCTGCGCGGGACCAAGGCTAGCTATCCCCCCACCCAGGCCTGGGTGAACCCGAGGGGCGCGGCCGCAGTACCTTCCAGCGCGGGGCCGGCAGCCGGATGCCCGGCGGGCGCGCAGGCGTACAGCGGTCCCGCGGCGCCATAGGGCTTCTGCACGGTCAGCACACCCGGTGCGTCCGCCTCCCCGGCGCTCAGGAACCTGGGCTTGGGCGGCAGCACGGGCGGAGGGCACACGCACTCCTGCGCCAACAGCGAGGTGATGCTCCTGACCACGTGGTACTTGGGCACGTCGTAGCCCCTTCTGCAATTGGACGCCGGCTGCTCCGCGTCCAGCGCGGCCGCACTGGACTTGAGTCTCTTGGGGAGGGGCTCCCCGAAGTCCGCCACTGAGCTGCTGGCGCTGCGGCTGCAGAAGTAGTCCCTGCCCTGCGGAGCCCACGGGCCTTCCGTCTTCGCGGGGTGGTCGACCGCGGCCAAGCCGTTGCTGCTGCCGAGGGCAGGCTGCGGAGGGGCGGCCGCTGCGAGGGGTTTCGACTTGCTCTCGGGTCTCCTCATCTTCTCCGGAGCCGGGGAAACGCTGGGCTTGGAGAACATCTCGGGCTGCGGCGGTCGAGCGGCGCCCTGGCCCCCGCCGCCCTGCTGAGGCCTCTGCGACTTGAGGTTGCTTGGCGCTGGGGTGCCGGGGTCCAGCCCGGCGGCCGCCGGGGCCTTGCGGGCCTTCTCGGGGGGCAGTGCCTTGGGCTGCGCTTGCGCCTGGACGGCCGGCCGCGGCTTGGGCTTGTGCAGACTGGCCAGCGGCGGCACGTCCTTCCCCAGCAGCGCGGGCGGGCAGCCGGTGCGCCGGCTCCGCAGCAGGGACCTGCTCCTGCAGTTCTTGTGGATGTCGGGGTTGTACTTGTGCTCCAGCCGCTGGTGCATCATCAGCACCTCCGGGTAAAACGTCTTGAAGGTACAAAACGGGCAGGTGATGCTGGGGATCAGACTCTTACTCAGAGAAATTGCTGGGCAACTGTGAAGAGCCCCAAGGGACAAATTTAAAGGTTTCTCCTGACAGTCCACACTTGTCTGGTACTTGCCCTCCGCTGTGCTCTCCGCCTTCTTGTCCCTGTGGCCCACCGCCACCGCCGGGGCTGCGATGCCTTCCGTGGGGGGCGCCATGGCCACCTCCGACTTACAGACGAGGTGATCTGCCTGAGGTTCAAGCGCTGGTCTCTTTTTTAACATGTCCATGTGAGCAGGGGCAGGATTTCTGCTCACTCGATCAGCGCCGTCATCAGCTGCATTTTTATTGAAATCCTGAGTATCTTTTTGTGCTGGTGAGAGGACAACGCTGCCCAGAACGTTCTGAAAGACAGGCGTCTCCTTAAGTTGCTTTGCAGGTGGGCTACCTTTAGCATCTTTGGCACCATCAAACAATCTCTTCAAATTTTTGGTCTGTGAACCGTCAGCGGCTAATTGTATATCTTGGGTCTCCTGACTTTTACCCTCACTCTTGGCTTCTGCGGCAACCTCCACCTGCTTATCCTTGTGGTGTCTCTCCAAGTGATACCTCAGAGATGTCTTCTGGGCTGCAGCATAGTCACAGAATTCACATTTGTATGGTTTTTCACCTAAAAAGAGAAGTGCCACAATAAGTTATGAGAAATGTCAAAACTGAACTTTAGAGACTGGAAGAATCTATCAAACTGGTCGTGGGTTCTTTCCCTGATGAACCTACTAATCTTAGCTGGGATTTCTCAGGACCTGTTTTATCACCCTTACACTACACTGAAAACTAAAAAGTAAATGCATATCTTTACCATCTAGTTGAAAGCTTGCTGTTAACTTATCTTCACCATAGCCCTATGGATATGATTATGATTAACACCCTCTTCCAGCCAAGAAGAGGGGGCACAGGAAGACTGCTCAGCAGGCAAGTGGGTGAGATTCAAGTCCACACTGCCTCCTCCGCCACTGTTATCAAGGCTTCCCAAATGTAAGACTACTGAACGGTTGCTCATTTTATTCTAAATCTTTAAAACAGAAAATTGGGGCATTTAAAATGAGTTTTAAATAAGACAGGATTCAGTAGTAGTAAACTAAATAAACCAACTTCAAAAGAGGAACAACTGTTCAAGTTACCATGATAGTAAAAGAATAAAAATGACAGCTGCAATCGGCACGCTGCACATTTATTCCCAAAACTATTCCAAGGCTCTAACACAAAAACAGAAGTGCATCACAATTCTTTCAGCTAATACATGCGTTAGAAAACAAAGTCCTTTACCTGTATGCGTTCTGAGATGAATATTGAGGTAATAATTTGAACGGAAAAACTTTCCACAATAACTACACTCTCTCGAGGATGCAAGATGCTTTACTTTTCCTCCATCATCATTTTTATCTTAAAGCAGAAACAAAAATATTCATGTAAGAAGACAGCTGAAGCACATGGATCAGGCAGTTGACTTGAATATATTTGATATAAACATTTTTGAAAGGCATGAAAGAATTTTTCTATTAGTTCAGGAATAGAAACAAAAAGGCTAAAAACACACCAAATGCTGCTGTGGAGTTATTTGAGGTTCTGAAGCTTTGTGGCGTCTGCTTTGTTTTGGGGGATAGCAGAGTGCACTACTTTGACTGGGGGATAGCAGAGTGCTCAAGATTCGGTTCTCTGCCTTAATCACAAAGTTAAGCGTAATGCACTCGGCTGCACAGGTGGCATTCCACTCCCTCCACAGGGAAGGCATAGGACCTGGCTAGCACTCCCAGTGCCTGAACCCCCTGGCAGGGGTGACCACCTTCTTTAGAACTTAGGATTGAGTCAATATAAATCATCAATTCTCCCAACCACAGAAAGAAAAGTGCTTAAGATTAAACAAATTACCACTAGATGGCAGCAAGCACAACCTAATCTTCACCAGCAAAGAAAGCTTGGTATTGGGCAAACTCCTGAGAAAGTCTGTCAAAATTTAGCAGAAGTTTTAGAAAACCGAAAATATTGACCACAAGAATTCACATGGGCAGACTGTATCTAAAATCTGTTAGATATGTCAAAATCTGTTCCCAAATGACAAGGTGCTAACTTTTGAACTTCAGTCTTTACAATCAGTGTATCCTATGCACATGAATCCTCAGGGATTCTAAGTACAGGATGATTGATGAGCTGCAAGCACACCAGCCCTCCCTCCAGACAGCTGGATGTGCAAGAGTTAAAACATCCTCCACCTGAATATTTTAATTCTAAATAAATACTCCCTGTGGCAGATCATATTACACACATTACAATATTAATGACTCAAATAAATTTTGGTCATGTCTTAAAATTTGGCATAATTAGGGCTGGAGGCAGAGCTCAGTGGCTGAGTTTCCCTAACATGATGAGGCACTGGGTTCCAAACTCAGCCCAAATAAAAAATTTTTCAAAAAAAAAAAAGTAAAAAACAGCATTAACTAAACTGGCCATTTGCCATCTGAAACTGCTATTTCCAATTTAGTGTCCTCCTCCATTTTGCATTCAAGATTGCTTATAGCCAACTAATTCAGACTCACAGACCCTGGTGAATCTTCATGTAAGAAGGCAGGACAATACAATCTCCACTACCCTACACCTGGAGTCCCATCTAGGACAGTGTCTCCACCTACAAGACAGAGACAACCCCTGACCTGAAAAGAGGCACCAGGAAGACTTTTAAAAATTAATCACTGACTTTGCTTTCTTAAACCTAAAGAAAGTCAGGTTGATAATACAGTAAGATCAGCCTGGACTAGAAAGCCACATAATCACATCGATTTAGGAAAATCTATTCCCTAAATATGGAACACCAGCTTTTTCTTAAAACCACATCCAACTAGCTGAGTTTCTAGCTGGGTTTGAACTTGTATATTTCCTAGTTCCAGCTCTGCAACAGGACTTATGGTATGTTGCATCATAAAGGTCTTTATTTTAGAACAAAGGATGTGAAGTTCCCACATTTGCCTGGCTTCTTCTGCCTTTTAGCATCACACTTCACAGTGCTGCTGTTTAAAGCAGAGTAAACTTTTTACAGAGGGCTGTTGCAATTACCCATGGGAGCTGAAGACAAGGGTAGAGGAACAAACTCTGCAAACAGGGTAATGGGAACAAAGAAAAGTTAAGCAACAACAATAGGCCATAAACTACGCAGTGGCACAACACACTCAAGCCAAGCTATGGAGCTGCCACCTGTGGCTGGGTCCTGTCTCCACCTGGAGGACCTAGTTCAGTTTTTCCACTCTACCTACTAGTGACTGGCCCTTCCCTTTCTCCCAGGGCACAGGGCATCTCCCAGCACTGACACCAGGAGATCACTCAGCTGATGAGAAGCCTATGGTCAAAACCTTTTCTATGATGTCATGAAGGGACCGTCCTATTTTCTCTAGATGTCTGGAACTGAAGATTGTAATATGGTGTGTGCTGGGCTCCCTGTGTCCCAGAAGGCTCTGTACATTATATAGCCAATAGGAAAACTACAGCCCTTGGGTTGATTTATCACTTAACCAGAGGAGAATGGGCACTGGATTAAAAATGGGTGGCAGGGGAATTGAAGTTGTGGCTCAGTGGTAGAGTGCTTGCCTGGCATGTGTGAGGCCTTGGGTCTAATCCTCAGCACTGCATATAAATAAGTTAATCAGAAAAAGGTCCATTGACAACTTAAAAAAAAAATTTAAATGGGGAAGAGTCTACCGCACTGTGCCTTTGAGAATACAATTTCATGGAAAGGAGAAGAAGGCATCTGTTCTAACCAAGACCACTGGTTTGTAAATGATGTCGTTTCTCCTTATTCACTTGTCGATTACACATCCTACACATTGGATGTTTTACAAATGTTTTAAGCAGTAGAATCCTTTACTCAAACAAATATTAAGCCAGGCCAGGTGACGCACGCCTGTATTCCCAGTGACTCAGGAGGCTAAGTCAGGAGGATTGAAAATTCAAGGCCAGCCTCAGCCAATTAGCCAGACTGTCTCAAAATAAAAAATACAAAGGTCTAGGGATGTAGCTCAGTGGCAGAGCACCCCCAGGGTTCAATCTTCAGTAACCCATCCCCGAAAAATTTAAGAAGATCTGAAACTCCAGGTGACATGAGAATGGGATGCAAGACTGGACATGGGTGGACTTCTCGCGCCATAGATGCCACCCACTAGGATAGGAAACAAGATATAAGCTAGGCCTTGGCGCTGGTTTCTGCTTCTATAAATGCCACTGACACGCTGAGTTTACTCAACAGTGAGATTTCTTAAAATTCTCTTTGGTGTGAGCCAGGCACAGTGCCACCCGCCTATAAATCCAGCCACTTGAGAGGCTGAGACAGGATCACAAGTTTGAGGGCAGCCTTGGCAACTTAGCAAGACACTGTCTCAAAATAAAAAGGGCTGGGAATGTAGCTCAGTGGTAGAGTACCCCTGGATTCCATCCCCAATGCCTAATTTTAAAAACACTTATGTTTATATCTATAGATAGATATAACATGCATACTATATACACACACCTTCACATTGCACACACACCTCCCTTTCAGGTGTTCACACTCCCTGTCTCTGACTTTGCAGACCAACCACCTGAGTTCCTGAGAGACCTATTCACAGACCCTAGCCTCCCTACGCACAGGAGAGGGTCATCAGAAGTACCAATGCCTCTCCCAGCAGTCGCCTCCTGGCTCTGGCTGACAGGCGTCCCAGGGCATTGTGACCACTAGACACGCACTGGAGTAGAGACAACAGAACTGGGAGGTGACAGATCCAGTTGGTTTACCAACAAAGTAGGAATGCCAGAAAACCCCAGTGATGGCTAGGGCTCCCAAACTGGGTGATGACGTTCCAGGCCACATCACTCTAGTATAGGGCCATTCTGTGCGCTGCAGGATGTCCAGCAGCATCCCTAGGCTCCACCCACAGGGTGCCAGCACACACTGCACCCTGCACAGCTGAGACAATCAGAAAAATCTCCAGACACTGCCAGATGTCAACTGACTGGGGGCAAGATCACCCCCACCAATAGCCACCGCTGAGCCTGAGGCACAAGGTAGAAGAAAACGGGTGTCCGCTGTGGACAGAATTTACAGAGCAAGGAGAAACCCTGGCAGGCCTTTAACTCACCTCTGTTATTATAGAAATGAGAGGGAGGGCCCGCCAGGTGAAGTGACGCACGGTGGCACCAACAAGGCCTAGAAGAGGAACCCCGCTTGGAGCCCTCCCGGCCAGTGTTCTCCAGGACACACGGAGCAGCTTACCCAAATGCAGCCCTTCAGGGAGCCCATCCTCAGACCCGTCTTCAGAGCCACCTTCTCGGTCCACAGCCCCACCATCATCCAGAGCAGTGGTGAGGTCTGGGGAGCACGTCCCAGGCTGCCTTCCATCCACGGCCATGGTGGGCGACTCAGCGTCCGCCCTCCTGTCCCGCTTGTGCACGCGCGAGTGCAGGACCAGCTGGTGGTAGGTCCTGAAGGCCCGGCCACACTCAGAGCAGTGTGTGGGCTTCTCTTTGTTGCCACACACCTTGGGGTCCGCGTCCGCGGAGGGCACCTCACCATTGGTGTGTCTGGGCTTCTCTTTGTCTTGCGAGAGCCCTGTGCAACTGTTTTTACTTGTTTTAGACTTTCCAGAACCTTCCGATTTACTCCCACTCCAAATTTCTCCAAGTTCTTCTTTTTCGGAACAGGAGTCGTCATTGTCGGTGCTTCCCTCCTGCCCGGACTCCTTCACTTCTTCCTGGGCGATGGCGACCTTCCCTTTGGTGGCCAGCTGCCACGCCTGGTAGGTGGTGAAGGGATCCAGCTGAGGTATGCACCTCATGGGCCTGCTCCCAGACTCAGGGTGAGATCTGGGCATTAAGTTCAAGAACTGCAGAAACTCCTCCCGCGGAGACGGCGTTCCCTCCTGCATTCCCTCTTGCCAAGAGTCGGTCTGTGTACTGCTGGTACCGGAAGCAGTTTCTTTGGTGTGTACCTTACTGTGCTCAATTAGATTTTCTTTATTTGGAAATAGGAAGCCACAAACCATACAGATCTTGTAAGGAGATGAGATGCTCCCGGCCACGTGTACCTGGACAACTTCATTGATGGTGACAGGACTCTCCAGGCCTTGCTGCAGTTTGTTCCTGGCACCCGACTTGCCATTGTGCGTCCGCATGTGATTTTTAAGGAACCACGGCTCCTTGAATCTTCTCCCACACATGTTGCACCCGTAAGTGAAAGAGTCCTTGTGTTTCTTCATGTGGATCTCAACATCAAAAGCAACTCTAAATGTCTGTCCACATACTTCACAGCTGAATTCTTCATTTTCTTTGCAGCTCGTGTCCTTTGGTGGTTCTGTTCGCACCTGACTTTTATCCAAAGGACTGAGATACTCAGCTTCCACACGCAGAACTGCTGGCTCACAGAGGGTAGGCCGGTGCTGCATCAAGACGTGTTTGTTAAGGTCTTCTGCATGTGTGAAGGTCTGACTGCAAAACATGCAGTCCAAGGGCATAAATCCTTCTATCTGGATGATATTTTTTTCTTGTGAAGCTCTGAAAGGTACAGCAGTGGTCCCTTTAATTGACAAGGCATCACCCACCTCCCCCTGGGTGCCAAGAGCGCTGCTGATGACTTCTGGTCCATCCATGTACACTAGCAGGGATTGAGTTGGCATGTTCCCTGATGTGCTAGGACTGTGTACACAGAAGACTCAAAGTTCAGCTGGGGAATTTCTGGAGTTGGAATAAGGCCACTTTCAAGACTTGTCACTCACACCTCCAGCAGCTCTGGGCTTCAAAACTAGAGCAAATATGTACTGTAAAGTTCAAATCAAATTGTATACTCCTCCACCTTCTTATCTTCAGAAGTTTGTAGGAAGTGCAGTGACAGAGTGTCACTGGCTCTTTGCACAAACAAGGCACAGATTGCCTGATGCCGTGATCCAGACACAAATCAGCACCAAGCGTTAGTCCTCCTGGTCTCCATTGAGTGAGCCCTGCCACTGAGCACGAAGTTGATGCCAGCAATATGGAGACAAGGGATTTCCAAAACCTAAAGGGAAGTAAACAGAAGCAATTAGCTGCACTTGAAGGACAGGCAGATGACACAGTTCCTCCACAAGGCAGAGATGGGACCTAATGCAACTGCCTCCCTTAAACTCACTCCCGCATCCTGTTCAACATGCTAGTTAAGCTGCCCCCAGCACTTCCCCAGCCAGCACACTTGTATATGTCTCACGGCCAAGAGCTCCGAAAGGCTTCACTCATCTCAATCTAAAAGGTCAAGTTTTAGGGCAGAAATTGTTAAATTCAGCTGAATCTATTTTAAATGTCACTAAGACGCACACAGGTACCCTAGACACAACTTCCACAAATCTGAAAACTATTAAGAGGTCATGAAAAATCAGATGACAAAACTGAACCACTTCGGGTAAAAATCTTAAAAGCCAATCCCCAAGACTGCCTTACACAACCAAATTACCAGCAAGAACAACATACGTTCAAAGGAAGGCTCCAAGGTGACACAGATCAAAAACATAAGCATACGACACAGGAACATTTCCTCTAGTCCTCACTGCAGAGACAGAACACCTCAGAACACTCGTTCTTCTTGGCCAACAGTTCTTTGATGAACTGGGGTTCACTGGATATTCTAACCCCCAACCCGCTGTCAGCATCCCAGGTTGCTCTCAACCACTCTGTGCCCTCAAGGAGCACCAGGCGGGCTTCCCAGTCCAAACAACAAGTAAGGCAAGGCACAAAGCCGCCTGCGGCTGCACCTGCACATCTCACTAATGCCCATTCCAACCCGCTTACTCTTCCATCAGAAAATAGACCCTCCCGGTTTTTAACCCCTCTTGCTCATTACAGGTTGGCCAGGTGGAAAAGGATTACTTTTTTTAAAGCTGTGCAGACTCTGATTTGGAGGCTAATTTTCACTCTTGGAAGAGAATTAGTCTCTAAAGCCAGTACTCTCCACTCTTAGGGCACCCAGAGGACTTGTTTCTAAATAGTCCCTTTTACTTTAAAACTTCAGCTGAGTATTCCTACCAAGAAAACAAAGACACACAAACTGCTCCCACCACAGTCAATACAAAACAAAAACACACCACCTCCCTCAGCTGCCCAGGTCTCTTCCTCCTCTTCACCCTCAACCCCTTATCTTTGGTTTTGAATCAACTACAGCTTCTTTCCTACAGAGGACTCCAGACCAGAGATGAGGGTGGAGAAAGAATACCAGTGTTTTATCTTAATTTCTTTCTGTTCTTTGTTGCAATCACAATGGAAGCTGGTTACCTTCCTGTGTGACCTAAGAGAACCCGGCAGGCTCCTGAGTTCTAGCCTGGCTTAAGGCTGTCACCACCACAGACCTGTCTTTCTGCCTCTGTTGAACCTGGTGGGTTACACTGCAGGACGGCTCTTAGAGCTCCCAAGGTCTATGGTAGGGGGAGAGAGTGGCTCACAGAAGAATACTCCATGGCTCTGTGACTCGAGATGTTGTGATGTTCCACTGTGGGGCTGACAACTTACTCCACAGAATTCATTGGAGGCCAAGGTCCAAGCAGTATTTTAACTGAAGAACTGAGCTGCAGATTCTAAGAAAGAGATGATCACACCCTGACAGCACTGTTTTCACCAGCCAAAAACTAGAGGAGAAATACACAATGCAGCGAGTTCTACAGAAAGCCACAGGAGTGATTTCAATTTGAATACATTGTCACTTATTTGAGGTCTTTCCTCCTCTTAAGGGCTAAAATACCCCTTTTCAAAAAATGAAAGTGCCAAGCAAGTAGTGGAGTGTTTTATTACTACTAGTGTCCTCACTTGGCAAAATCAAAGTCATCCCGTATCAGACATCAACTATTCTTTAAAGGAACTTTGGCTGGGCTTGGGGTACAGCTCAGTGGCACCTACAGAGCAAGCACCAGGCCCTGGATTTGACCCTCAGTATCCCAAAAATAATTTTTTTAAGTTTGGGTTCTTTTGCCAATCCCTTTAAATTTAAAAATTTAGGAGAACTCCACCTATCTATAATACCTTTTCCAAAAAAGACAGCAGCCTTACAATCAATCTACTACTAGATGAGAAATTTGATGTGGGTATATCCCTTTTTCCATCCAGGGTACCAGCACAACTCAATTACTGTAAATAACATCTTGGAAAGAAGGTTTGGCACCATTTTTATCTGTGAAATTTTCAAATGTCTGGGGCCCACGGAGGTCAGCACAGCTCTGTAGGACAGGACCTTCAAGACACTTCGCGAGAGTGAAGGCCTGAAAAGGAGGCAGAGCTGGAAAGGGTGGAAGGAAAGAGCTCCAGTCTCACTAGGTGGAGAGATGGAGACGTGGGCGGGTCCCAGAGGAAGCTTCCAGGGCACGTTCTGATGGCCACAAACTGTGCGCAGCTCTCCTGGCACCAGAGGACCTTGAAGTCACCATCAAGGCTTGCTCCCGCCTTTTTCCAGCACAGCCCCTGCTCCTCAGTAAAGACTACACCCTCCAAACCTTTCCACCGTACCTAAAACCATCCTGTCAGGAGTTGGATCTGGTGACGTTGGATCACAACTACTGAGAAGGCTGAGACATGAGGATTCCAAATATGAGGTCAGCCTGGGCAACTTAGCAAGACCCCATCTCACATAAAAAATAAGAAGGGCTGGATCTGGGGCTGTAGCTCAATGGTAGACCACCTGCCTGGCACATGTGAGGCACTGGGTTCAATCCTCAGCACCACATAAAATTAAATAAATAAGAAGAGCTGGGGATGTAGCTCAGTGGTAAAGCACCCTTGGGTTCCATTCCCAGTGCCTTCCCCCCAACCCAAAAAAAAGAAAGAAAAATTAAAAGACTGCAAATGCAGTTCAGTAGCGGAGTGTCACTGGATTCAATCTCCAGTACTATAAAATCATCCTGTTTGGACAAATATATATATAAATACATATACGATTTTAAGATTAAAAAAGACAAAAATAATTAAAAACATCCTGTTGGCCTGCTTCTTAAAGTAAGACCCTAAGATAGCAAAGCCCCACTGGCTTGTTCCCGATGCCCTGGTGCCAACACAGAGTTGGTCCCTCAAAACACACCTGCACAACCAGACAGCAAAGAAGCGAGGTGCACACCTCTGGCCACAGCCATCAACCATAACCATTTGACATTAAAATTAGCATGAGTGGCCAGGCCTGGTGGCTCAAGCCTGTAACCCTAGTGACTTGGGAGACAGAGGAAGGAGGATCCCAAGTTCGAGCCAGCCTCAGCAACTTAATGAGGCCCTGTTTCAAAATGAAAAATAAAAAGGACTGGAGGAGTGCTCAAGCACCCTGGGTTCAATCCCCAATACCAAAAAATAAAATTAATAATGTGAATGGTCATCCAAACTTCCACATGGCTACCTAAGACTGCTGTCTAATACACCTCTGCAGTCTCAAGACTGGAATAACTGAAAGCAGGAATCATTTTTGATCACACATAAGGTTGACTAGCACAAAGAAAACTGCCTCAGTTTGGGGGCAGAGGTGTAGTTCAGTGCTAGAGCCCTTGTTTAGCCTGCATGAAACCCTGGGTTCTGTTCCAACCCCACCAAAAAAAACAAAAATGCCTCACTTGAATTTACACCCTCTTCTCACGCAACCCACCAAAACAAATCCACTGGGCATGCCACGGAAACCTCTGCAAGCAAAGGCCCTGGCTCTGAGATACCACAGAATTCTTCCAACACTAAAGCACCAAATAATCCAAACCAGGTGTCCATTACTTAAAACCAAAATCTTTAAAGTGGTTGTGATAACAAAGAGTTAAATAACATCAAAACTTACCCAACAGAAAATTAATCATTGTAATTAGTGTGTAACAACAGTGTGCAGTGCTGCTGACAAACTGTCTTTCAGAACAAATGGAGGGAGAAAGAGGACATTCTAACCCTGATTCAACACCACCACCCACATACTTCTAGTGGGCAGCGAAGTACACATTCTCAACACACCAAACTTATTAAAAATAAGAGACTTTTGCAAAAAAAAAAAAAGAAAGAAAGAAAAGGTGGAGGGGTGATTTACTCGTGATTTACTGGGATGCTTCACCACTGAGCTGCATCCCCAGCCATTCTCATTTTTTGATAGGTCTCACTAAATTGCTGAGACTGGCCTTGAATTTGGGATCCTCCTGCCTCAGCCTCCTGGGTCGCTCTAAATACAGGGGTGCACCTTTGCATCTTGTGCAAATAATTTGTACCCTAAGGCACCTAAGGCAAGTGGCTATTCCTTCCTGAAGGAAAAGGAAGGTTCAACTTACACTGTGATCACTTAAGTAGGAACTTTTTTTTTTTTTAATGTACCACAACATAATCTTTGAAACTCAGTAAGAACCACCTAAGTATAGCTGCATGAAATAAATCTGTTCTTTTAAGTAACTAATAATTAGATAGTTATTTGTGTCTAACTACCTGTAGATCTTAAAATTAGCAAACATTACACATTTCTCAATGAAAAGCACCACAATGTGTGTTCAATCAGGGGCATCTGCCTTCCTCCTGGCAATGTCTGTGGCTGGAGATGCCTTGAGACAAGCCCCCCATTGCTCCTCTGAACAGCTTATCCCACATCCTGGACAAGGGGCAGTTAGTTAGCCACCACAGGACATAGCAGTGAGGTATTGCAAATCCTCAAAAATTGTCAAAAACACACAAAAATTCTACCTATAGTCAAGTAATTTGCAGTATTCATACAAATCTACTTTTTCCCAAGTTAGTAAAGTGTCCAAATAAATGGTTATTGAATCAGTCAACTTAAAGTCTACTCTCTGACCCATCATCTCTGTCCTCAAAACTATAAATGTAACTCCAAACTCTGGTTAGGAACTTGGAAGCTTTTCTTTAAGTTTTTCCTTTATGTTTTACACATATTATTTTTCTTAATCCTACAAATGAAGAAAACTACATAGTATCTACAATACCAACCAACACCTGGAAATTTAAATCCTTCAACAGTATCAAGGAAATCATCAAGGTCACATCCACAAGCTAAACAGTCAGCCCACTTTATTTTATTTTATTTTATTTTTTTGTGTGTGTGTGTGTGTGTGGAAAAAGGCTTGAGTTAAGAAAGATTAAAATATCCAAAGTTTAAATTCAGCATTACAACCCAAACCATCACAGGCAAAAGAATGATCAAAGGCAGAACCTGGGACACTATCTCATTGTTTCAAAATTACATACAAATACTCAGGCCTAAACAGGATAAGAAAACGAAATGCCAAATATATGTGTGTGTATATCTATATCTATATCTATATCTATATATATAGATATAGATATATATATATCTATATATATATATCTATATCTATCTATCTATATATATATATTATATATATATATTTGATCATAACTAGAAATGGCCTAATTCAGCCCAAATCAGGTAAGGTCTGCTAAAAGGATCTTAACAACTTAAAGCACCACGTATTAGTTTTAGTTTCAAATTATCAATAGTAGTAGATACTGTGATCTAT